CTCATGACGTGGATCTGCACGCACTTCAGGTGAACACTTTGAGGCGCTATAAGAAACACTATCGCATCCAAACCAGACCCGGCATTAATAAATCACAATTGGCTGAGGTTTGTATACATAAGCAGTCCATCACTGATTGTATTAATGCCTCGATTTGATTGTTGGACAGACTCTTCAGCGACACTTCAAATCGATGCCGATCTACGAGAAGGAGGCCATCACTTACTTTATATATATGGTTAAGTGTAATAAGAATAAATTGGATCAAAACAATACGTCCGGTGGCGGCACCGGTGCGGGCGCTGCCAAACAGACAGCGCTGGCCAGCGATTGAGTTGCCTTCCATACACCCGCCCCTCACATCCCCTCACATCCCCTCACATCTCCTCACTCCTACTCTTCATACTTGAGCCGCACATCCATTCAGTCGACAATTCATTTCTCATATCAATTCTCTCTTCTCTTGACTTGAGTTTCACTTTTCATTATTTAAACATATTTTTGATTTTTAAGTGAACTCCAAATTCAATCACATTTATCCTTAAGTTTATAATTAATATTTATAATTAAAATTTTATTCAATAATTTAAATGATTGAAAAACTTTGTAAAACTTATGATTTGTGTCTTATTTAAATATCAATTGAAATATTTATCGTTGAATAAAGTATTTTTAAAATTTAAATGATTGATAAAAGGATTGTGTTTTAATGTGTTTAACGAATGATCACATTTTAAAGCCATCACTCAATTGGTCAGTAAACAAGTGGTACAACAACTACTGAATAGTACACTATACAGAAAGCATTAGTGTATTTAAGAGTAAATTACATGATTTAATAGTCACTCGATTATTAATAGTTACATAGATTTGTTTCAAATGTTACCAATTGAAATGTACATGTTAACATGTACAATTTGTAAATGCATTGCAATAGACAGTACACTATAATAGAGCGCAAGTGTGTCAATAGGTGTCGCTATTGTATTGCCATTACTTTATGTCAAGTCATTGAACACTGAATTCACTCAACACAACATTGTCTCAAACATTGTCACAAACATTGTCACTGAATACCAGCGCAAAGCAGATCCAAGCCATGTCTTTGCCCACTAAACACCAACGACTCGCTGATGAGGCCATCGGTGGCCAACTCGACGATCAACGCTCTCTGAAGGCCGACAACGAGATGCTCATCAATGGGTATGACTTGTGGTGATTGTGACACCAATTGATGCCAAACTCATTGTTTGTGTTAATTATGATTAGTTTCCAATCGATTCGTCAACGAGTGGTCGGAAAACATCCGTTGGAAGCGTTGGAGAAGACATATCAGCAACGGATGGATAACCAGGGGTTCAGTCTCTTGAAGTCAGTTCAGGGCATTCACGCGCCCCTCAGACTCATTCACGAGCGCCGGGCGGCCCAACACATGCGCCGACTGCCAGGCCTTAGCAGCTCTAACCTAATGCTCGATGTGTTGACCGGAAGGGACGAAGAGATTGGTCCTCAAGACTATCTCAACGGTAGTAATCGATGTCTATCTCAATGTCAATCTAATGATATGTTTTGTCTTTGTATGGATCAGATGTGAACGAGACACTGGAAGTGATGGCACCGATTCATATGTTATGCGAACGCCAATAAAAATGTGTATTAAATCTAAAGTGAACTCAAATCTAAATTATAACTTTTTTTCTAATAAATAACTTTTCTTAACAATTGATTGAATTATTCATTGATGTCTATAATATTCTGACAAATTCCTCTAAAATAATAGATTTTGTATCAAAATTGGTAATTAAATATTTGCCAAATATTAACAGTAATATCGATTATAGACCATTATTTGGCATTATTTAAATTTTATATTTTATTTTATGCTAATAAACAGCTATATGTTATATTACAGTAATCGGGAAATATTTTGCTGTACTTATTATTGATTTAATTTGATATGAAATAAATTTTCGATACATTATTACATTTGTAATATTTTGTTTAAAATTGATTTTATTGAACAAATAATCATTTAATGAATACATTACTAAATACTGATCACTACTTATATTTTATTATATAATTATATAAAATTTATTCAAAACAAAATTA